TTCTTTTGAGACTGCAATAGATTTTTTTATCTTGAAAATCGCTTATTTATAAGTCATTTTTCCTTTAAAATTGCTAAAAATACTGAGAGGGTCATTTCTTTAGCAGCGTACAAAGAAAAGTCTCAAATAATTTAATGAGATAATAATATGTCAAGCATAAAAGATAATTTTTCTTCAAAATCTGACCTATACGCAAAATTTAGACCGACTTATCCGAAAGCCATGTTTGACTTTATTTTTTCTTTTGTAAAAAATAAAAAAAATGCTTGGGATTGTGGCACAGGTACAGGGCAAGTTGCAATAGAATTAGCAAAGGTTTTTGAAAAAGTTGAAGCAACGGATATCAGCACAACGCAAATTCAGAATGCTATTTTTGCCGAAAATGTAGCTTATTCGGTGCAGGCTGCCGAAAATACAAATCTTCCAGACCATTTTTTTAATTTAATTACGGTGGCGCAAGCCATTCATTGGTTTGATTTCGAGGCATTTTACCGCGAAGTACGGCGAGTAATTAAACCCGACGGAGTGCTCGCGGTTATCGGCTACGGATTAATACAAAGCAATGAAGCAGTTAATGCAGTTATTGCTACATTTTATCAAGATATTATTGGAAAATATTGGGACAAAGAGCGAAAATATCTCGATGAAAATTATGAAACGATACCGTTTCCATTCGGGCGTATCCAAACGCCGCATTATTACAATCAAATGGAATGGAATTTTGAGCACTTAATTGGTTATCTCAACACGTGGTCTGCCGTCAAGCACTATACGAAACAAAATAATATTAATCCAATAGATTTGATTTATGATGATCTAAAACAGGCTTTTGGCGAAAAAAACAGGGTAAAATTTCCCATTTTTTTAAAAATGACCAGGTCATTTGGGCAATTTCTTTGAAATTCATAAACCATGCAAATAATCAATAATTTGCATAGGAGGCTTGGCATCATGAGTAAGATTACAACGCCAAAATTCGCGCTGGCCATAAGCCCAAGTGGGCGTTTTTTTTTCCAAAATTTGCTGAATCAATGTATTTTTATCAATCCAACCTACAAAGGCTATGCGTCGTTGATATTCTGCCAGACGCAATAGTTCATATATATCTGCCTGCGTTTCTTGGGCGTAAATTGGCAGCGAACTAAGCCATTCATCGCGCTCTTTGCGCCGAAAACCATAGTAAATTTGGAGATGTACATCGCCACTCAATTCTTCTATCAAGGGTTTGCGCCGAATGAGTTTTATGTCCCCTTTTTTAAGGCAGGTGCGCAAATTGCCCCAAGCATCAGCGATTAGAGAAGTTTTGACTTCGAGATTATAAGTCTTGTACTGAAAATCGATATCGATGCCGATACTGTCATCAAAGATATTTGCCTTTTGAAAAAAAACGTCATATTGGCTAAACCAATCCCGCAAAGCAATTTCGCCTAAATATCCCCTAATTTTACAATCTAATTGCACTGCCGAACTGCGATGGCGTAAATTATCCACAAAATCACCCCTCAAAGCGCGTTGAAGTGAAGCGTTGATTTGGTTTTCAGAAACAGGCAATAAAACTACATCGCGAGGTAAAACGGGCATTTTTAGTTTTAAAATGCAGATTTATTTGAGGAGCTAAAATTATTTGCCATCTCAGCTCCTCAAACAAATTTATAAGTCAAGTAATAAAGTGACAGGGTCTTCCAATAATTTTTTCACTTTTACCAAAAACGTTACAGATGAGCTGCCATCAATCACGCGGTGGTCATAAGACAAAGCCAGATACATCATCGGACGAATTTTTATTTCGCCATTAATTGCCATTGGGCGTTGTAAAATAGCGTGCATACCCAAAATAGCAGATTGTGGCTCATTGATGATTGGTGTACTCATCATCGAGCCGAACACACCACCGTTGGTGATGGTAAATGTACCGCCACTCATTTCTTCCAAAGTCAATTTTCCTGTGCGCGCTTTATCTGCCAATTCCTTAATTTTCCACTCAATTTGAGCTAAATTAAGCGATTCGCAATTGTGAACTGGAGGCACGACCAAGCCAGCAGGCGTAGAAACTGCTATCGAAACATCTGCATAATCGTGGTAAATAATATCTTCACCATCAATCATCGCATTTATTTCTGGCATTTCTATCAAAACTTTGGCACAAGCCTTCACGAAAAGCGACATAAAGCCCAGTTTAATGCCATATTTCGCAACAAAACGGTCCTGATATTTTTCGCGCAATGCCATGATTTCTGTCAAGTCCACCTCATTGAATGTCGTCAACATGGCAGTCGTATTTTTGGCAGATACCAACCGTTTTGCAATGGTACGGCGCATACGGCTCATTTTTTCACGACGCTCTGTGCGGCTAAAATTGGAAGCTACTACAACTGGTGCTGATTTGGGTGCAGGCGTAGCAGGCTTTGCTTCGGCAGCAGGTGCGACTTTTTGGGCTTCAGCAGCTTTGTTGGCATCATCTTTCGTAATCCGACCATCTTTACCGGTAGCAGTTACTTGGGCAGGTGTAATTTTATTTTCTGCCATAATTTTTGAAGCTGCAGGGGATGGTGTTCCTTTTGCATAGCTTTCAGATTTTGAGACAACCACAGGTGCAGGTTCTATTTTAGATGTCGATGCCACAGGTGTATTATCACCTGCACTGACATTGGTGTCAATGCGAGCTACTAAATCACCAATTTTTAGGTCATCACCTTCTTTAGCTACCCATATCAACTTGCCAGCAGCCTCGGCAGGAAGTTCAAGTGTGGCTTTATCAGACTCAAACTCACAGATGGGTTCGTCCAGAGCAACAATTGTACCATCTTTTTTGAGCCATTTGGAAAGCGTAACTTCACTTACAGATTCCCCGATAACAGGGACTTTCATTTCGATAACACTCATTTTTTATAAGTTAAGTTGAAATTTTTTAAAGAAAGTCCAAATTTAATTTTTATTTTTGAAAATATATAGAAATCTATATTTTTTTCTGAGCATCTGAAAAATAACGATAAAGCATCGGTGGATAGCCTTTTTTTCCCTCATTTGAGATGTATAATGTGCCATCTGCATCAAAAACAATTCCTTCGGGCTGCCGATGAATTTCTTTATCTAATTTGTTGATATGTACGATTTCCCCTTTGGAAGATAGCACAATCAGAAGTTTTCCGACAGAAGACAATATATACATTTCTTTCGTTTGTGGCTGAATAGCTATGCCTGAAGGCGCAAATTCCCAATCATCAGTAGCACTATCAAGGTATTTTTCAGCCAGTTTGTCATAATTTTCGATATTATTATGCGTTTTTAAGTAATCTTGAAACATTTTTTTAGAAATAATAAAAGTAGGTTTTTCACTTAATTTTTTGGTATGAAGGTCAAATGTGTAAATATGACGTTCTGACTTTAAATTATCAACAATATTTTTACATATCAATAATAAATGTTTGCCTATCGAATCATAAGCCAACCCCTCCACATCTGCAGTTTTATCAAGCGATGTTTCAAAAATATTTATTTTCTGAGCTTCAGTGCCTGGATTAAGAATTTCGTAAATATCGCCATTGCTTTTTACAGCATAAACCGCCTCATTTACCCACTCAATACCTTCAAAATCACCACCTTTAGGATAAAACGGCACTTCTTGCTCTATCTTTCCGTTAGCCTTATTCAAATAAAAAAGTATTCCTTCTTCATCTTGCACTGCGCAAAGCTGATTTGGGTTTTGACAAAGGCTCAAGCCAGAAATCTCGGTAAGGCGAGCATCAAGTTCAAATTCTTTATTCGGCTGATTGAACGTATATGAAATAACCACAGGCGGAGAAGTTGGCAAAACTTTGCGTACCGTATGGCAGTCTTGCAACAAAAAAACTATGGCTAAAGCACATTGAAAAAAAATAGCATTAATGTTGAATCCACATTGTTTGAAAAAAATCATTGCTTTAGTTCATTTTATTTAAGAAATTTGTGTTTAAACCAAGTGCAAATTACTGCGTTTTTTAAGATAGCATACAAACATTACAAGGTATTTTTTGAGAAAATAAGAGTAGAAAAAATCGAAAAAATTTATAAATATTTTGTAATCTTTTAAATTCAAAACCAGTACAAAACAAATACAATAATGCTAAAGAAATACTTATTTATTCTATTCTTTTTTAGTTTTATTTTTAAAATGATATGGGCACAGCCAACTCAGCAAGAAAAATATTACGAATCAGAGATTGCTCCGCCAGCCGTCGAATCTTCTGCTTGGGAAAAAGCAAGTGCCGGCATTGACTATGCCAATGAGATGCAGAAAAGCATTAAAAAAAAAACAAATAAAAAAGACAAAGGCAATAATAGCGCGCTTTGGGCAAATTTCTTCAAATTTTTAGGCATTATTTTGCTTATTGCTTTGATGGCGGTGTTATTGCTTCACTTTTTGGGTGCAACAGATATATTCGATGCGCGAGCAAAAAAATTAAAACCGACCACCCTTATCGACCTCAACAACGTGGAAGAAAATTTGAAAGAAGCAGACATGGAAGCATTGATTCGTCGGGCAATACTTATTGAACGAGATTATAAATTAGCTTTGCGCCTCTATTATTTGTATGTTTTAAAAGAACTTTCGGAACGCCAATGGATAAAATGGCGACGCGAAAAAACAAATCAAGAATACTTGCACGAACTGAGCGAGCATAGTATGGCTATTCCTTTTGGCGAGCTAACCCGAATATTTGAGCGAATATGGTACGGTGAGCACAATCAAATACAGGAACAAAATTTTGGACTATTAGAATCAAAATTTAGGACATTTATACAAGCAATCCAGCAACAGAAAAAACAATGACGCTTTTGAAAAGTATTTTTTAAAAAAAATTTTATAAAATTTGTGACCACATTTTTAAATATACTTTAGCCTAATAAAATTGTAATTATCTTATAATCAGATTATAGTTAATAATTTATAATGATGATTTGTGATGTTTGTTTTTTTGTTTAAATTTATCTATATAAAAACTGGCATGTTTTTTGAACAATGTGCTAATGTAATATATTACAAAGTTTTCTTATTTAAACCAATAGCTATTTTTAGTCCAAAAAAATTAAAACGAAAATTAGATTTGAGTCAAATTCTTTACAACATTTCCAAAACTACTAATATCCTATTCCTATGATAAAGCAAACACTAAGCCAAAAATTGCTTCAGAGGCTTTCGCCGCAACAAATTCAACTGATGAAATTATTGCAAGTGCCTACAGCCAATTTGGAGCAACGAATTAAAGAGGAATTAGAAATCAACCCTGCCCTTGAGGAAGGTGATGATTATTACGACGAATATGGCATAGAACCCGATGACGAAAATTTTTACGCCCAAGATGGGGAAGATTTTACTGACGAAACCCCTACAACTGATGAGCCTGTTTTGGACGATAGCGTTTTATTTGAAGATTATTTGACAGAATACCTTGAAGATCAAGACGATATGTATTCTTATAAGTTACGTACAGAAACACCTTACACCCCCAATGATTATGATGACCAGCAGCAGCCTGTTGCTAACGAGAGCACCTTTCATGAATATTTAGACCAACAATTAGGCCTGTTAGATTTAGATGAACGCAGAAGAAAAATTGCAGGACAAATTATTGGTAGCATTGATGAAGATGGTTATTTGCGCCGCGATATCAATGCTATAATGGACGATTTACTTTTTTCCCAAAATATTGATACCAATCAAGAAGAACTATTGTACCTGCTCATGTTAATTCAAAGATTTGATCCTCCCGGAACAGGTGCTCGTGACCTTCGAGAATGTCTTGTTTTGCAGTTGCATTATCGATTAGAAAACGATAAAATGGGAACAACACCCAAAGATGTCATCAAATTAGCTATCAAAATTTTAGAAAATTGTTTTGATGAATTTTCCAAAAAACATTTCCCAAAGTTACAACGTCATTTAGGTGTAAATGAAACTCAACTCAAAGCTGCTATTGATGCCATACTTAAATTAAACCCTAAACCTGCGAGCAGCCATGTTTCGTTGGCTGACCGCTCGTCCAATTATATTTTACCTGATTTTATTATCACAAATCGCGATGGAATATTAGATCTAACGCTCAATTCTCGCAATGCGCCTGACCTACGCATAAATGAGCATTACAAAGATATGTTAAGGGCTTTTCGCATTAGCCATCAGGGCAAGCGCACTTCGCGCAAAGAAAAAGAAGCTATTTTGTTCATCAAACAAAAAATCGACTCTGCAAAATGGTTTATTGATGCCATCCGACAACGCCAGCAAACCATGTTCAAAACCATGTATGCTATCATGCAATTTCAATATGATTATTTTTTGACTGGCGACACAAAAAAAATGAAACCAATGATTTTAAAAGATATTGCTGATATCACAGGGCTGGATATTTCTACTGTTTCGAGAGTCGCAAACAGTAAATTTGTACAAACTGAATTTGGAACAAAACGAATCAAAGATTTCTTTTCAGAATCCTTACAGACCGAAAGCGGAGAAGAAGTATCTACTTTAGAAGTAAAAAAAATCCTTTTAGATATCATTGAAGAAGAAAATAAACGTCGTCCTCATTCTGACGAAAGGCTCAAAAGCCTACTACAAATGTATGGCTATAACATTGCTCGCCGTACAGTCGCTAAATATCGAGAACAACTCAACATTCCTGTAGCCCGTTTGCGTCGAAAATTATAGAAAAACAGATTTGATGAGAAATTAAACCTTAATTTCTCATCAAATTTATTAGTTCTGTCAAACTCCTATTGAGTTGCGTAATAGCCCGTGGCAAATCCCACGCCGCTCGGTTTCGTGGCTCCACATAATTAGATATGCTGCGCAAGGCAAGAAATGGCACTTCGGCGCAAAGACAAGCATAGAAAAATGCTGCTCCTTCCATCGTTTCGACATCTACATCAGGAAATGCTCCTCTGACCGCCTCTATACTGGGTAAAGAACCATGTACCTTGTTGATTGTCAATCCATTAGCTTTAGGCAAAAATGATTGCGCTTCGTGTTTTGGATTCCACAATTTCCCATTTTGAAACGGGAAATTATCACTTTCCAGCAAACCCAATGCCATCATATCCGTAAATTTTCCATCAATTTCTTCTACACCCAAATCTCCTAATTGTTCTCTAATAACATTCACTACATCTCCCAATACAAATTTTTTAGGCGAAAATGAGCCAGCAATACCCGCATTTATTGCTAATGTATATTTTGTTTTACTCAAAGTCACGCCAAGATGAAACGCTGTTTGCAACTGACCAACGCCTGCAATGAGTATGTGTATATTTAACCCATTTTGTTCAAACCAGTTATTTTTTCGTTGTTGAAAATTTTGGTGTAAATACTGAATAGTATCTGAAATTTCGAACGAAGTAGCTGCAACAAGAAGGATATTCATTTATTTTTTTTTGTTCTTTTGCAAAATGCACTTTCAGGAACGTAAATACGACGATAAGGTATCAAATTTAAACGCAATTTATCGTAAAAATCTGATACTTTATTTTAAAAGAATATTTTGCAAAAAAGACAAATATAATTTTAAAAAAATAGATAGAAAAACTATCTTTGTGGGCATAAGTTGTTTGGGGGTATAGCTCAGTTGGCTAGAGTATTTGCATGGCATGCAAGGGGTCATGGGTTCGAATCCCATTACCTCCACTTTTTGGCACAAAACGTCATTTTTTTATCATTTATAAACGCCTAATTATCAGATAAAAACAAAATAAAAAATACAAAGACGAAGAATTTATATGCGTTTGATTTGTACTAAAAAATGTTGTTTTCGTCAGGAAAATGAACTTAAATCGCTTATTTGCCATCATTGGAGGGCTGCTTGCTGTTGCAGCTATTTTTTATTACTTTAGCAATATTGTAGTATATGTTGTTTTAGCATGGATAGTAGCTATGATTGGGCAACCAATTATGTTGTTTTTCTTCAAAAATATGCGATTGGCTCGGCTTAAATCGGGGCGAAATATAAGTGCAATTTTGACCTTGTTTTGTTTTTTTATATTTTTTGTGTTTTTGTTGTCTATTTTTGTACCACTCATTGCAGAACAAGCCAGTAACTTGAGCAGAGTAGATTACGCAGCAACGATGGTTTCCCTACAAGAGCCTGTCAATCATTTAAATATGTGGCTGCGCGAAAAAAAATTGCTTGCGCCTGATGGCTCAGTCGTTACGCAGTTGGAGCAAACATTAATAGAGTGGTATAACCCAGCCAAAATTGGCAATATGTTTCGGTCATTGGTGCAAAGCGCAGGTCAATTTGTGATTACCATTTCATCAGCCTCATTTATCGCATTTTTTTTCTTGAAAGACCAAGAAATCTTTACGGATTTTTTTATAGCTATTTTTCCAAAACGATTTGAAGATAATATTCGTCGTTCATTTGCACATATTCGCATATTATTGAGTCGATATTTTAGTGGTTTATTAATACAAATGTTTTTTTTCTGTCTAATTATCACTATCGGATTGACCGTAATTGGTGCAAAAAATGCGCTTTTAATTGGTTTCTTGGCAGCTTTGTTAAATGTTGTGCCTTATGTTGGCCCTATTATTGGCGGAATATTTACCATACTAATAACAATTTCATCTAACCTCGATCTCAACTTCTATGACCAAATGCTGCCACTATTGACCAAAATACTATTTGTTTTTCCCTTAGCTCAGTTTATAGATGGTATGATTGTGCAGCCTACAGTTTTTTCTAAAAGAATTTCAGCCCACCCGTTAGAGATTTTTTTAATCATTTTGGTTGGTGCAGATTTGGGCGGTATTTTAGGTATGGTGCTTGCTATTCCCGTTTACACTATTGTTAGAGTGATTGCTCGGGAATTTTGGAGTGAATACTCTATTGTTCAAAAATTGACGGATAAATTATAAAAATTTTGTTTAAGGTTGCTGCGCTAAAACAGGATACGCACCAAAATTTTTGAGAGCAATGGGTTGGAATACGTTTTTTTACAAAGGACTATTTTTGGTTCATCCATGATTTTGGCGCATAATGCAGTTAAATAACTAAAAATACATTTTAATTAATTGATTAATCAACATTTTATCGTAAATTTATTCGATAAAATCTCAGTTTTTCGCCAAAGTTANAAAGTTGAGAACCTTTAGTAATGGTAGAAAGTTGGGCAGCTAAACGGTCTGAACAAAGAACAGAATTGGGCAAACCTTCCGGAAAATGTTCCTTGATAACCTCTTTTGAGCGCGTGCAAGCCGCCACAATGTACGTAACGATGGCATTTTGCCATACCCAGAACCAGCCTTTTGTCCCTTTTAATTTGAAACCAGTTTCATCTGAACCTACAAAAAAGGATAAAGTGATGATTTGACGCAAGGATTCGTAGGTCTTTTCTGATTTTTGAGCCGTCCGACGGATTATATTTTCTATCGTCCCTTTTCCTATGCCAACATTGCACACTTTTTTAAAAAAATCCTGTAAGCGCGCAAATGGCATAAATTGATAACAACTTTGATATACCACCATACTTTGGATATTTTTTCCATATTGTATGTGATTCTCTACGCCTTCGGGATATGTTCCTGATTGACAATGACCACAATTACATATCGTACTATAACGTTGATATTCTGTTATTATCGGTACAATCGGCGGAATATCTATCACTTGGCGACGACCCGTTAACTCAAAAGACCCATCTGACAGCGATTTGCCGCATTTCTGACAATATTCCGGATATAAGGTTTCTATCTTATCCGGGGTATCGCTCATTTTCAGCGTATGCCCTTCATGTCCAATTTGACCCCCTACTGGTTTTCCGCTTTTTTCTCGAAGGCTTTGGTTTTTTCGACTTAAATCTGTTGACGGTGATAAATGGCTATTTTTACTCGTTTTGATTACTTTTCCTGAGGTCGTTAGAATCAATAACTGATCCTCCAATTCAGCTATTCTCGCTGCTTGCTTTTCTATTATCGCTAAGGCTTCTTTATATTTCTCTTCTAGTAATGCCTGTTGCGATGCCAGCTCTGTCAATCTTGATTCCATTGTCATGACGTAAATTTAATATCTTTTTTCTTTTTTTATCTTTTTTTTTTCGAAAGATGCGGCTGGATAGTTACGCAATTTTCGTTTATGCCTATAGTGTTTTATGAGTTTTATAGCCAATTTTGAAGCAAATAAAACTCCGTTTTTGATTTTTTTTTAAAATTGATAAAGATTTAGCATGATGTGGAACTCACATTATCATTTTTTATATTTATTTTAGTTAAGACTAATTTTATAATTTATTGATAATAAGGTATTTAAGTATTATAAAAATAATTGGTTAGTAGTATTAATTTTTAATAAAAACTTTCCATAGTTGCTTACCTGTTTGAATATCTGATATTTGTAGAAAATAATATCCATTTGGCACGTTTTTGAGCGAAATGGGGCTAATGTTTTCCCCTTCTAATAAATTTACGTTTTGCTGCTGCATGACTTGCCCTAATGGACTAACCAAGCGCCATATTATGTTTTTAGTGCGTTCTGTGACGATGCGTAAAGAAATATCATTATTCGTCGGATTTGGAAATACGTCAACGGCACTAACTTCTGGTAAAAATGCTTCTTCGTTGGCAACAGTGCGCGATTGGCTCAAACAGATTTCATACATTCCTGTTGTGGCATTGGCTGCGTCCCATACGCGCAAATACAGTTTTTCGCCAGCTTTTGGGTTTAAAATAGTTTGATTTTGGCAGTCTATTGCGGCAGTGCTCCAAGTACCTTGAGTGTAGTAAAAAGCCTCTAACGCTGGCATCGAACCTTTGGGTGCTTGCACAAATTCGTATTTTAAATTTGTCCTAATTGTTGTGGGTACGGTGGATACAAACCAAATATCTTTGGGCAAATTAGAGCTTTGACAAAAAGAGGTAGGTAAGCCTATTTCTGATGAAAAGGTCGCTTTATCCGTAGAACCGATGGCACTTTTAGGGCAAAGTGCGCTTCTTGAGGTAATATCTAATGCAATCGCGCCAAAAGGGTTATCGTAGGCAAGGCGGCTTGTAACGCAAATATCAAAAGAGCAATAGCTAAGGGCACTAAAAAAATCGGTAAAAACGCGAATATAATAGGTTTTTCCTTTGATAACCTTCCAGCCATTGGTTTGGTAGTAGGCACTTTTAGAGCAGCCAATTGGTTGCAATTGGTTATTTTCGTCCGCTCCGAATATTTGGTATGACATTTCCACATTTTCGCCAACAACGGGTTTAATATTGGATAAATTGATGATGTGATAATCGTCGGTAGCTGTAAATTTGTACCAAACATCGTCATCTGCTTTTCCGCAATAGCCTTGTTGTTTGCTTTCGGTAGCTAAATAAGTCGTTCCACTTGTTATTTTATCACATTTTCCGCCTGTATTCACAGTTAATTCAATGGCGTTTGTAATATCATCGTTGACAGGACGAATGGGCGGTGTATAGGCACAAATGCCAAATTCTGCTTCGCCATCGCCGTAATAGCCGCTATAAGTCAAAAAATGAAGTTCAATTAAGTAATTTTGGCCTATTTTTAAATTGCTAATGCCAAATTCTTTGCTATAATCATCAGAGGCTTTTACCAATGAATGGTTGGCACAAGTGCCTTCGTATAAGTTATAAGCGAAATCATAAATGGAATATCCATTGTCAAATTTGATGTTGGATACCTCAATTTTAACTTGAGCAGCAGTGGCAATAAAACGATACCAGACAGTGCGCTGATTTGCGTCTATTTCAGTATTGCCATTTGCATTGACCGTTGTTCCTTTGAGCGGTGTTGTGCAGGTTTTTCCCACTAAAAGCTGGTGTGCGCCTATACAATCGTCATTGCTGGGGATAGGAGGGGTTAACAGCGCGATTTTACGTTTTTCTAAGGCAAGTATTGTTTCTTGACTGTAAGCGTCTATAGCAACCCGTAGCCAATATGTTTTGCCAATGGTTAAGTTTTTGATGCGATTATTGGCATTAAGGTAATTACCAAAATATTGAGTACTAATGCCATGTGAGTTACTGAGCGTATCACATTTTTCAAAAAGCCATAATCCCATAAATCCATTAAGTGTTGTTGGCATATTTTCTGGCAAATCAATATACACTTGGTGCTGGCGAGCCGTAGCCGTAAATTTGAACCAAACATCGGGTGTAGTGCTGAATCCAGCATAAGATATAATGCCTGGTGTTGCATTTGCTAAGGAGCAATCCAACGTTTTTTGTGGTACTAAATTGGTATTAATAGGCAAAGTCAGCACACCACTACAATCGTCGTTGACAGGTGGCGTAGGTAGCGTGACAATACTCATAATAAAACCACTATTAAAGCGACTTCCAATATTGTCAGATAGTTCTATAAAATAGTCTTTTCCTACTTCTAAATTTCTTAGATAAAGTTCGGTAAATAGGTCTATTGTAAAACATTCTACCACCGACAATCCTCCGCAATCTCCTTTGTAAATCACTAAATTAGGTGAAATATGGCTATATTTCCATAGAGAGTCTGGTCTTAAAATAATTCGGTGAGTAGTAGCTGTTGGTTTAAATTTGAACCAAATATCTTTATTTCGGTATGTCTGACAACTGGCTTTAGTATCTGATTTTGTAGCGTAAGTCAATTGTCCTGATACAGTTAATTTTGATTCAATACCCGTATTTATTGGAATATTGATGGCATTGATACACTCGTCATTGAGGGGTAAATTAGGGGCGGGCGTAGTGATGCAACAACTAAATGTTGTTCTTGGTGAGTATTCGCTGTTGGAAAACAAAATATAATAGGTTTTTCCAATTTCAAGTTTAGATAAAAGATGAACAGCGGCTGCCGAATAAATCGTACCACAATAAATAGCTTGTAATTGGTCACAATTGCCACTCAATACTTCAAAATAAATATTATTAGCATATCCATCGCTTTGAGTGGTTATGATTTGTCTTTGCGATGTGGCAACAAATTTGCCCCATACATCTTGATACTTCGAAATATCAAAGCAATTTGATACAATGTTGTTTTTCGTTTCTGGCGTTGAATTAGAAAAATCAAACATAACAGGATTATTGCAAACTGTTGTATTCGATACATCAATATTTTGGGCATTTTTGCAAATATCATAACTTGGCGGCGGCGGCGGTGCTGTTAGTGCCGCGGTAAAGGTAACTGGTATTTTAGCATCATAATTATAATTATCTATAAAACTTAAAATGTATTGCTTCCCGATTTCCAGCCCTAATATTGTAAAACTGGTGTCTTTTGGAACATAAAACGACCGAGAATTATAATTAATACTGCTGGGAGTGCAATTAGGGCTATTACTCAAATTAATCGTAATGTGATGATTTTGGGGTAGATTTTTAAGATTTTTAAGCACTAACTGCTGCGATGTCAAGGTTGGCTTAAAGCGGTATAAGCTGGGTTCATTGGAAATCAGACTTACATTTTTAAAGCTATCTATCTTAGTCGTAGGATTTACAAAAAACTGGGGTAAATCATCACAAATGCTTGTGCTGATTTGTTGGGTAGCGCATATTTCAAACCCTGCACCAAGTTGTTCTGAGTTACTTATAGATAAATAGTATTTTTTGGTAGGGTTTAGCCCTGTTAGTTGTAGATAATTGCCTGAAATATAAGCACATGTAACCATTCTTCCATTTTTTCCGCAGGCATCTTCCCACAGTTGATAACTATGCGTTTCGGCATAATTATTAAAACTATTTGTTGAAAAATTGAGCGTTAAAGTGTCTGTTATTTTATCAAAGGTAAACCAAATATCTTTCGGTGCGCTACAAAATGAAGCCTCTGTTCCGTCTATGGAAGCGGTGGCAAAAGTGGCGTTCGCTTTTATTTTTTCTATGCAAGTATTTTTACCTACTTTCAAAACGACCGCATTTGCACATTCGTCATTGGCGGGAATAGGCGGCGTAGTCACACTAATATCGAAGGAAAAACGCTCTTCCGTTTTCTGAACAGCAACCACGATATAATAAGTAGTGCCAATGCTAAGATTTTCTAACGTCATCGTTTCGCTCCTTAAATCTAAACATTGAGAAAAAGAAGCATTGGTGGAAAAACAATCTTTTGCGGTAATTATTTCCACTTTTGTGCCGTAAGAAAGGGGCGCACTTAGGTTATTAATAGTCAGTAAATGTGCTTTGGCGGTAGCTTTCAAGGTGTACCAAACTTCTACATGTTGCCCTTGGTAGCGGCAATAATTACGAGTTGTTTCGCTATTGGTCAAACCTCCCGCGATTAAATTGCCTTTTATTTTGTAGCGATGCGTTGTGTCAGGGCTGGGTGTGAGTGGTGTTGCAGTAGCGCAAGTGCTATTGGTCGG